ATATAGCCCAAAATCACAAATCAGAATGAGGGGGTCCTTGGTGTATTCTCTATCTTGTAAGGGGTCCTTGGCTGAAAAACAATTGAGAACCTCTAAAGTACTGCAGTCTCTTCTCCTAAGTCCTTTTGAATTCTCCTATCCACTATCCCTTAACCCCGTGACGTTTCACTCAGAGGTCAAGGAATAGGAGATAGGGTTAGAATTTAGGAGCTGATTTTTGGATTATCGGAACGCAACCACGGTTATGGAGTTAAGGCCCAGATACACCGGCCAGTCACCTGAGAAGTCGCCGACACCGACTGTTGCGTCGCCGGACTCTCCTGCGTATTTGCCGACTTCGCGCACTGGAACACACCGCAAATCCGAGCCGAGCACGTATGAACTGCGTATGCGTGAGTGGCAATAACTCTCCTTACCAGCAGGCGGCGGTAGTGTGTATTCATCATTCAAAAGAGGCAACAACCGGAACAACCGGAAGACAGAGAAGAAGAACAGACTCCGTGATATAAACAAACAACAAATAGCGTTTTTCTTTCCATTTTCACTCTCGTCCATTGAAAACATGAACGAACAGGAGCTCTATAGACCGATGAGGTGAAATAGCCGTCCGTGTGTGTTCCATCTTCCATTTTAAATCATTTGTTTACCTCCCTCACTTCCGTTAACGCTTCTCATGCACTGATTCGCTAGCTGAACAGCCAATCAGTGTTATCCCTTTGTCGACTTTCGGTGGTGTTCCCGACGCCGATTCAACATGTTAAATCGGCAAGAAAAGGCGTCAGGTCGGCAGAAAAGACCCGACGGTGCGGCGCACACCACTCCGAATAGGGCGTGCCCACGCTCATGTTCGGCCCGACTCCCATTTACTGCCGATTTCGGGCCTGTGTATCTAGGCCTTAAAGTTGCGCAGCTAATTGGAAATAAAAAGGAGACCGCTCGATCGTCTGGGCAAAGAGAAAGGTACTTCAAAGCAGAATGGTACAAAAACAGAGAGTGGTTAATTATTTGCAAAACCACTAAACGAGCCTTCTGTGAAATATGCAGATTTGTTGCTGTCAAACGGCTTGTAACTTTCTCCACATGTGGAGATGACTGCTTTGTAAATACCGGAATTAATATTTGGAAATATTATATGAAATCTCCAAAAAAAGTTTGCTTCAAGTCTGATTGATAACCTGCACTGTGAACACACTCCAGGCACACTGCAATATTGATTTCTTCTACGTCCCAGCTTGTAAGGGAGCTTAATGTAAAGATGTGAAAAACCAAGTAGACATTCTCACACATCTGGTATTTGCCAAATCTTTGAGTTCAGTGCAATTAGACATTGTGCGTCATAAACCATTGTTATTGCATTTTAATGCCAACCTATTTTATGGTGTCTAAAGGTATGAAGGCATGAAAATGATCATAATATAAATTAAACAGTTATGCACAACTCAAATGTGATAATTAAAACATATTATAATACACATTATGATAAACGTTATGTCTACCACCGTTAGAAACAGTTTCAAAGTGATTTAGAATAACAGTGTAGCTATTATATCTGCCCATCTGAGGCATCAATAATACCGTCATACTGGTCATCTCAAGTGCTTTTCAATAGTTATAGTCCATATAATATGCTTCTGTGAGCACTAATTGGAGTACAAGTGAAACAGGTGTTTGTTTGTTTGTTTGTTTATTTATTGTAAAATTGGCTCTTATTCGAATTTTTTTTGTTTGTTAAATCTTTAAATGAAATATGTGAAGGTAATATTTACATTTATTTCACATCTTTGATCTTTCCCCCACAGTTGATCTCCTTTCATCTTTCCGCTACTGGTTTCGCAGTTTCACATTTCTCCAGTTTCACAGAGTAGGAGTGCAGCTTCTGCTGTCAAGTTTGTTATATATCCCAAAGTTTGCATAGAAGTGTTTTACACCTTCTTTCGGTTTTAAATGAGGCCCTGCACAGATGAATTGCTTTAACCATAGTCTACATACAAATATAAAGGCTTTAACCATAGGCTAACATTTATTATGTAATCCCCATAGACTGTATATATAAAGGTAATCCCTTAAAGCACAGTTCCGATATCTGCAGGTAAGAAACTGGAATTTACATGTCACGTAAACCAAAGTAATGTTACCCATTCTACAGGCCACATAACTAGGTTTTGAATGATAATTTATTTCTCACAAATCCGATAATTAGTTTGTTTTTGTCTAAAAGTCAGTTTAAAACTCGTAGAGCCTGGTGTGGCCTGCAAGTCTAAACTCTGGGCAACAGAGTTAACCTGCTGCTGGTCAGCAGGTTAATGAGAAACCAACTTCCTACCTGCTTAGCGGCAGCCGGAACTCACCGCAGCTGGAATCAAGTGCTCTTTTCTGGGAAGAAAACGTGATTTAGGTGAATCCGTTGTCCGAACCGGGGAAAAGTATACCGAGCTAAGTTCCCCCTTCTGGGGTTCGAACCTGGAGATGGACCGGTACAGGTATTTCATTTTCAACCAGAAGAGCGTTCTGGTCCTCGGTATCCTGCAGATCGCCTGTGCGGGTCTTTGTGTGGTGTGTGGCTTCATGGACGCTATTTCCCGAAAGTACACCCCGCTGAGCGGCACCAGGGCCCCGGTGTGGGGAGGACTGGTGAGATATGAATCCTCTATCATCACACACTCTTTAGCAGTTATTCAAGCAGCACTGCAGCCTTTGTAAACTTCACTTTCATCATGACGTTACATATTTTTCACATGTCAGTCCGCCACTTTACAGTCTGCTCTAAATGTCCTGAATATTATAATGGAGTGAACCTCAGCTAAGAGATTGGAGCTCCTGGTCTTTGCCTTTGTTCCTGTCAGTTTATTCAGACTGCAAGTCTTCCTGCACAGATCCTGGGCTCTCCGGGTGTCCTGGCACTGTTCGCCTCCCAAAAGAAAAACTCAGTGCTGGTAAGTGAGAGGGGTCAGTGTATGTTTTGGTCATTGGGTTTTCTTTTCACAAATGGATATTCAAAAACAAAAAACGACTGGATTTAGTAGATAGGCCTATATAGTTTTAAAATTGAAAAACCAAAATTGAAATACAAGGCGTTTTTCTTTATCATGGTCAAAAAGGGATTTACTAAAATTAAAAAACGGGATGATTTTCATTTTCTACTTCTCAAAACTAAAAATAAAATCACTAGAAAACAGAAACAAAAAAATACAGTTTTTTCATATTCTGCTACCGGAAGTTACCTTACAAAATAAGAGTGCAGATGAGGACGGTCAGCCCGTGTATCTACGGTCCATTTGTTTTTCTTTAAAGTGGACCGATTATGCTATATTGGAAACATATTGTAGGGCCATATATATACAAAACATAGGCACATTCACACACACCGCAGTACTTTTCCCACAAAGGTTCATGAGAACTTAGTTCATGAGAACTATTTAGTTCTCATGAACTAAGTACAGATCGCGTTCACACCGGAATACATTTCTGGGGAAGGATTAGGCAAATGAAGCCGCTGATGTCACTTCTTCTTCTTCTGCTTTGGGTTTACTGGCAGGCCGCAAACAACTTCACGGCGTATACTGCCACCCGAAGTCCCCGGCCGGAAGTCCCCGGAGTTGGGGACTGCAGCTTCTACTGAAGCCTTCCGAGTAAATCACCAGAACGCCGACACCTCCTCATCTCCACCGCTACCATGTTTTCTTTTGTGTTGCCTTAAACAGCTGCACCGTTCAGGATCCCAGCATCTGCATGTAAACGCACGATGGCGCACACAGCAGCAAGCTCAGACAGCGATGACAGTTTAATTTTGAACGTGTCTGAGAGCTCATATGAGGCTGAAGGATCGATTTATGTTGTATCTGTTAGAAGTTTAGGAATTAGGTGCGTCAATATGGGTGATCATACGGTCATGTAGCCAGTGGTGGACTGGGACTAAACATCATCCCGGGACTCTCGACCGGCCCACTTCGGTTCCGCTAGTAAATTGTCAACGGGGGGAGTGGGGGATGTGCTAGTGACTTATCCGACCGGCCCACTTCGGTACCGGCCCATCGGGCCAGTCCGCCACTGCACCCAGCCCAGCCCACGTAAACTGTCAACGGGGGGAGCCTCGCTGCGGGGAAACGGTAGACCTAGTGTCCCGATCGGAGTCGGGAATAATAATAATAATAATCATAATCCGTGCATTTTATCCATTAATTTCCCCAACATTTCTGGAAAAAAAACCACACGTTTAATCCATGTTGGTGTACTACAACTACAAAAAGCATCGGTTTGTTTTTTCATCAGGAAATGCAGACCGGCTCAAACAATCATCATCCTCAAGATCATTTAATGTATCACATTTTCGCCGAATTGACATGAAAGCACTAATAAATGTAGTTTCATCCAACTTGATCCTCACTACAATAATCGATGTTGTTTTTATATCCATCAGACGCGGAGGAAATTCCAGGTCTCACGTACCGATTTGTAATCCTATTTAATCATCATCTTCACCACGTCATTTACTCGTTTATGTTCGCCGAATTGACATGAAAGACAGACAATATGAAATACTGGAGTAACTTCATTAACAGTTATTAACATGTAAAATCAGTAATTCAATTTCTACCATGACAAACACTTTGCTCCGTGTTCGTCTCATCCCGCACAGTGAAGCGTTCCCGCATTGACGTCACTTTTTCGGCTTTCCCCAAACTTTCAAAATGAGTCCGAAGGAATTTCCGCCGCGATGTTCGAATTATTGATATTATCGACAGTATCGTACCTTCTTTTAAACTCGACGGTTCGAGATCTACCCAACGTATTTCATTGCCACAACAGTTGTTGGGAGGCTTGTCACAGGCTCTTTAAATTAGGCCCAAGTCGCAAAACCATCCTCACCTGCCCCTCCGTGGACGGAGTTGAACTCCGTCTGAAGCCACACTCCAGCAGCTCAACGAGGCTCCCTCCTCGAGCCTGTAGGTGGAGGGAGTAAATACAGGCGGCAAGCTTTGGGACGGCCTCCCCTTCTCTCGGCAGAAACAGGAAATGCCGTAACTGTAATGTACACAACGGTTCCAAATTCAGCATCTCTTTGACCAAAAATGTTAATTAATAACTAAAATATCCAACTCAAACCATATTTCATTGTGTGTTTTAAACCTGATGTTTATAAGCTTCTTAGTTTTTGCAACAGTCCTGTAAATAGTACACAATGCTTAATAATAAAATGCACACGATTTACCTTTTTACTAGACTAAACACAGGTATGATCCTAACGTTCAAAAACATTATGAGGTTATCATGAGCGTTGTTAGACTCACAGTTTTCAGTGGATGTTTGCAGTGGCGGCAAAAAGTTGGGTATGCACTAATATGCGATCGCATAGGCGGCGCCCACACCAGCGGGGGGCGCCCAACAAGGCCGCATGGGTAAAAAAAAAATTAAATAAAATAAAAATAAAATTGGGATTTTCTTTATGTTGTCTAAATAGTTTCTGCATTTCCTTAAGGTTTTAAAAACATTTTAGAGAGTAATATGCTAAGAGAAGGGCGCCCTATCTCATAAGATTCCATCATAGAATTTTGACATAGAGAGGGAGCTACGAGCAGGGACGCCGTAACACTGAGGACAGGCGCGTCGTTGTGAGTTAACGTGCAAAAAGAATCATGGATAAAACAAAGAAAGCGGCGGTCCGGGGGCAGAAAATAGAAAAGAAAGAGGGGAAAGGAGACGCGTGGTCAAGGGATGCGACAACAGCTAAAAAGTGGATGTTGTTGAAAGGCAACAGGTAGGAATAGGCATGATTTAAAGTGGTGACGTCTTCTGTGCTTGGAAATATTGACTGGCTAGCGTATGCTAACACTGGCATAGTAGCAGCCAAAGGTGGGGGGTTATGGCTAGCTTAGATATGCAAACCAATGGTTGCTGCGCCAGCGCTGACATGGAAAGTATGAGGTAGCATGTACAATAAATACAATGAATCTGGAAAACATAAACTAATGGCAATAACTCTGGTTTATCATGGAATCATGGCGCACCATTTGCTACCAAATAAGAGGCCTTGCAAATGTCAGTTCATGTTAGACAGACTGTTCTCCAGATTGGCTAGGTGTTTGCTACACTAGCAGCTGGAGTGTGGTTTACGGCCTTAGCTTTATGCAACCGATGTTTCTGATAGCTACATTAGATTTTTGGGTTAAACGCCCCATGCATGTCCACGTCCAAATTGTATTAAAGCGTAAAATACAACTGGTAAATATAAGGTAGCCAATGCACAATCAAATGTCAAAGAAGCTGGAAAACCATAGCTTAACCATGATCATTTAAATATGTTGTGCTGCCATTAGCTGCTATGTTAGCTGTGCTCGTCAACATACAGGCCTATACATCTGTTTGGTGAACACAGAAGCTGCTTATTACAGGGTCACATCTCTTTACAGGTCTGTGCTAAGTAGCTTCTCCCCGTATTTGTTCTTTTAAAATTACAAAATGTGAATGGTACTTTCACAGCCAGCACAACGCTTACACGGCATATAGTGTCTTTTCTATTTGCTTTCTTTTAAAATCAAAATGCTGAATGTACTTTCCAACAGCAGCACAACCTTACACGGCATCAAAAGGTTGTTTTTTTTATTATTAAGTTGCTTATCACTGGGCTGAATTTAATAATTTAATTTAGACAGCTCGCTTTAAACAGTGAATTCAATTTTATTCAGGTGTGAGGATGGTGGGCTCAGGAAAGAACCAGGGGAAGGCAACAGGTAGGCTCTAAAAATTAGGTGTACAGTGTAGGGGTCCTTGATACCAACAGATTCATTCGGTCTTAATATTATTTTAATATTATTAATAAGGGAAAACTAAATATGGAAAATCTATTTCAAATAATGCGGTTTGTTTGACAATATAAGTCATTAGTGGGAGAAAGAACACAGGCAACGGAGCGAATGAGACAAGGACATAGGTCCTGCGATGGCATCAAGTAGAGATGAGACCCAGTGATGATGTCAGGTAGTAGGAGTTCTTATTAGTATTGACCCACACACAAAACTCAATGTCCAGTATGGTTTGAGTTCTGTTGACCACCTATTCACTGTGTCCTTTTTGGGGATGAATCGACACAGTGGCAGACAGAGATGGAGAGCCCACTCACCAACACGGGTGCACGTGCTCGCAGCGCAGCATCTGTCGAAACCGAGAGGTGACGATGAGTTGCGAAAGAGAATGTCGAACCGAGAGGTTGGAAGATGAGGTGGGAAGACGAGAAGTGCTGAACAGACGCAGTGAAAGATGAGGTGGAAGAGAATGTCGAACCGAGAAGGTGAAGATGGAGGTGGAAGAAGAATGTGGAACAGAGAGGTGAAGATGAGGTGGAAGAGAATGTCGAACAGAGAGGTGAAGATAGAAGGTTGTGGAACAGAGAGGTGAAAAGAGGAGAGCTCTGAGTCAAGGCCTTAACTCAGCGAAGATCGATCAGACTGGCCACCACCACATCAGATTGGGGACTCTTTTTTAGGCAGTGTGGTTGTTGAAAATGGCCCACACAAATGCCTGATGGCCATATCCAAAGATCAGAGAAGTCTAGAAGGTTTTTCAGCAAAGCGTATTGTTTTCGCACAATTGTCAATTGGAGGGAGAAGTTGCACGAGATTGGGTGTACCTGTATTCTACAAAGTACGAATAAGGTGTATTGTTTTGCGTGTAAACTTTTCGGTGGGAGCTAGCGTTGTTTGAACACGCTTTGTGGTGGGATATAAATAAACTGGCAGAGTCTTTCAAAAACGCTGCAGCACCAATGAAACCAGTGTTACACATCAACCGCGTATCTTTCGGCCACATCTGCTTACACGCCTTGTAAGACAATTGACAGTAACCGTTTTGGTCAAAAAAGCCCATAGAAGCTGAAAAGGCACACTGGAGAAGCGTGTTACGAGAGTGAATCGATTGCCATACTCTTTCCTCGCAGAAAGGAACTTTGCCACTGGAGGGGGAAGACATCTACATTAGGATCCTAAAAAATGGGAAATTTTTCTGGGTGTCCCTTGAGGTCATAGCACGATATGATGTCACACTAGCAGAGCATCTTAGCAGGTAAGCGGCTAAGAAAAAAAACCAACAGGCATATCTTTCCCTGGTGCACTCAGAATGAATTTTTGATTCATCTGCATGACTCGTGTACTTGGTAACCAATCTTTGTGCCCAGGTAAAGCCTCCAAGTACTTTGCTGTGGAGTTGGATTCGCACTCCTGACATCTTCAAAGCAGGAGCAGGCCTCAGTCCATACATCCAGTATGTTCATACGGACGACAAAAAGAAAGCCACCATCAATGAGTGCTTTTGTTTGGCTTCATAGTTGCTGAGGACAACAACTGGTAAAGGTCCTCACAGAAACACTGACTGGGGTGCTGGATAGCCTTGGGTTGGAGTTGAAGAATTGTAAGGGGCACAGGTTATGACAATGGCTCGAATATGCAGAGGTTATACCACACAAGGCTGTTCAAGCCTTGGGTGCAGGCAGAAGTGTCCAGAGGCACCTATTTACTCCGGTGCTGTAGCCACAGTCTCAACCTTCTCCCTATGTGATGCTGCATCATCAAAGGCGAGGAGTGTGTCTTACCTTTTTGGCACTATCCAGAGACTGTACACCACTTTTTTCAGCTTCCGGTGAAGAGGTGGGATAATCCTGCAAGAGTTTGTGGACATCACTCTAAAGCCTCTCAGTGAACACCAAGGTGGGAGGCGGAAAATCAGACTCTGTCAAGCTGTGGCGTTTTCCAGTTAGGGGGGATTCTTGACGCTTTGGAAAAGCTTGAGGCAAGTGGAAAAAGACGGCAAAAAAGTCTCAGCAGGCAAAAGTCCGCTCGGGCGGCGAGATTGTTACTGATGCGCCGGCGAGTCTTTCTGATGTGCCTCTGATTTGTATGATCTATTGTCACGAGATCAACGTTTTTAGACAAGGCAATGCAAGCAGTGAACATTTCGATGGACACTGCATACCCAGTGACTGATAGATTCTCTGAAAGATTCTTCTGTAAGTATAAGAGGCAGGGGTTTCAGAAATCCCTTGACATTGGCCACCAGACTTAGCCATTGAGATGGATGCTTCCCTGACTTTAAGGAAAAAGACGTGCCAGAAAGCAAAAGAGATTTCATGGAGATGATTCAAGGCACTGGCCATTTTGAACAGGACAACTGAGCACCCAATTTTAGGTGCATGGTTTTTAATGTTATTTGTTGGACACTGTAATGTCAGGAGTTGTCTGACCAGATTTTGCAATCTTTAAAGCTTGGTGTCCGAAAAGTATTTAAGTTCATTTACAAAATGGAACACATGACAAAAGGCTGAGTTGGAGGACATCAGGTTTGACAACCAGAATATGCACTGGCTACCGATGCATGGTGTTCAAGGGATATCATTCAGGAAATTGTACCCACAGCAAGCCGTACTTAGGGGGCATGAGAAAGGCCTCTGGATAAACTAAATGTCCTCCTAACAGAGAACCTTGATTTGGTTCTTTCCCAAAATCTGAACAGTAGCCCTGAGCAGTTTTCCTTGACATGCTATGACAGTTGCCCTCTGCCCGAGAAGATCATTCAGCAGCTAAGCTGATTAAAACATACCCTTCGTTGCCGGAACATGAGGCAATGATACGCTTTAAACCCCAATCTAAGCGTCTTTCAATTGAAAACAGTGTGGCACGACACTGTCTTCATTCGATGCAATACTAGAATAAATGGGCAAGTGCGAAAGGCACGCCATGTTAACGATTTAGTAGCAAACTAAAGAGTGCTCTACTACAACTCTCAGGTAGCAACATTGTTACATAAGCTACATCATTTTTCTAATTTTTTGTTATTTATTGCTTATTTGTCAGGGGCCGTGTACAAGACAGTTCCAGGTAACCAGAGTTAGCTATAAAGTCGGATTTAGCATCCTGTGGATTTTTTTTTTT